GTGCGCCTTTAAAAGCGGGCGGCGGGGGCTTGGGGGGAGGTGTCGGGAGTGGCGGGCGTTGAGGTGGGAGGAGGAGGAGGAGGGACTCGGGTGGAGTTGCGTAACGGGGGCTCCGGGCTGGGGGAGTGGACGCCGCTTAAGGAAGGGGCCATGCCCCACCGGCGGGGCGGGGGCCAGCTGCGCGTCGCGCTCTGCCCCGCCCTGCCTTGGGCGCGGCGCACTTGGCACAAGCAGCAAATAATGGCTTCGGGGGGCGCGGACGGTGCTGGCCGCGGTGGCTCCGAGGCGACGGCCGTCGGGCGGCCCGTTAACGCCGGGGCGGGGGGGCTTCCTCCTTCCCCCCCTCCCTCCCCTGTTGGTTCGGCCCGTCCCGCCCCTCCCGAGCCCGTGACAGGTGGAGCGGCACCCGACGCGTGCGCGCGCCCCCGCCCGCGGCCGTCACGTGGCGCCGCGCGCGCCTCGCGCGAGACTCGCGGCGCGAGGGGTCTCGCGATGCCTCGGCGGCCCCGGGGCGTGAGGGCGGGGAAGGGCCCGGCCCGGCCCGGGCGGGGAGCGGCGGGAAAGGCGCGAGGGAGGGGAGGGAAGAGGAAAGCCTGGGAATTCGGGCTTCTGGGGACGCCTCGCGCGTGAATAAAGGTCTGGATTTCTTGGCGTGCCGGAGGGGAAGGGGCTCGGCTTTGCTGCTTTCTACTCCTTCTTCATACAGCTGAACGCGCCCCCCAGGCCCCCCTGTGGCTGGAGCGTTCCTTGGGCGTCACGGAATGGCCTGGGTTGGAAGGCACCTTAAAGATCATTCAGTTCCAACCCCCTGCCATGGGTCCCTTTCCACCAGACCAGAGTACTCGGAGCTGCGTTCAGCCTGGCCCTGAACAATTCCAGGGATGTGGCATCCAAAGCTTCTCTGGGCAACCTGTGCCAGTGCATCCCCACCATCCTCGGGTTCCTTGGGTCCTCGACCCTTCCCAGTTCACCCGGGAAGCCGAGAGATCAGTTTTCTCCCTACAGTGCCACGCAGACAGGAGGCTTTGTCGTGTGTTTTTTTTTTTTAAGTGAGGTGTTTGTAAATTGTTTGATTGCGGCTTTCCTGTGGTGCATACGAGCAGGTGAGTCTGCTGTGGAGGCACAGCTCATCCCCCTTTTGCTGGAAAGGGATCAGAACATTGTTCTGTAACAAGCCAGCGTTGCTTCTCCAGTGTCAGGCTGAAGCCCTGTGTCTGGGCAGGCTTTTCCCATTGGAATTTCCTCTTCTGTGATTGCCAGGTGCTCTAAAGCAAAGGTGAAGCCATCGAGTGCCTTTGGGAATTATGTGAGCAAGGTCAGTGGCCAAACTGTGCAAGGGATGTTCAGTCACAGTGCTGCTGCTCGCTGAGTCTCCTTTAATTGCCACCCTCAGATCATGTGCTCATTATGTTGAAGCACTCTTCTGCCTCTGTAGGTGCTAAGTTAACACTTACGCACCACTGATGTTTTCCAGGTGGATCATCACGTTTTTTTCTGGTCCTGATGGTGCAGAGACACTGACAGGAGTGGAGACCTGGGCAAGACAAAGTCTTGAGTAATGCAAACAAAGTCTCAAATTAGGATGTCCTTGCTCCCCTTAAAACCAAGCTATTGTCATATAGCTCTACTTTCTCTTGGAAGTGCAGGGAGAACAGAAAAGCACCTGGGTTTGCTGAGGTTGCATATCTTCATAAACAAGCAGCCAGTTTGTCAGTATTTGTATAAGAGTTTGGAGTGCAGATAAAACCCAAGTTATTTTTGGTTCTGGAAGTGGGCCACAGTCTACTAATAGTGAAAACAGCTGTGATCAAACATCTGCCTTCTTCTGTATTGTCCATGGATTCTCTGTCATGTGTTTTCTCAGCAGTGTTTCCTCAGGTACTGAGCTTGGCACCAAGGACTTCACTGGCTGGGAACATGCCAGAAATAAGGTATTTCAACACAGATTGTTTCTGAGGTCTTGAGTTCCCACTTTGCAGTGTCCCAAGTATAAATCACCAGATAGGAGAGAAGACAGAACCATTTCTGGGTAGAAGGAAGGCATCTGCTAAACTGCAGAGCAAATCAAGGCACTGTAGAAGCAAAAAAGAATCTTGGTTCAGTTGGAAGTATAATGAGAAACTCACATGCACCTGAAGTCACCCCACCTGAGTGACTTCTCTAGTACTGTCAGTGCTACTCTTAACCCCCCACATCCTCCTGGAATTGAATTTCCAGATGGCTTTTTTTTTCTTTATTTGATCTACTGCTCGGATGAGTTGAGAGGTGCCACAAAGGCCTGGATATTGCTTCAGGTCTTCAAGATGTATCCGAGGCTCAGAGTCTCTAATAATAACAAGAAAAGGTTGAGCATGCACACTGATGGTGCCTGCAAACAGGCAGGTGACAATTTTGGGGCTGACAGTGATATGTGATTACTTGTATGAAAGCAGAGAGACTGTTTCAGACAAATGTGATGCCTCCAGTGCTGAGATATGCCCTGGAAGCTGAATTCAGAGGGAATGTGTCTTTAAATTCAGGAGAAGGAAGGAAACTGCCCTGTTGTTCTGTATCGAGTAAGGGCCACCAAGTGACTCTAAGGATGGAGCACCTCTCCTATGAGGAAAGGCTGAGAGAATTGGGATTGTTCAGCTTGGAAAAGAGTGACCTAATTGTGGCCTTCCAGTATCTGAAGGGAGCCTTTATAGGAAAGATGGAGAGAGAATATTTACTAGAGCCTGGAGTGGCAGGACAAGGGGGAATGGCTTCAAACTGAAAGTAGGTTTAGATTGGATAATAGAAAGCAATTCTTTACTGTGAGGGCAGTGAGGCACTGGCACAGGTTGCCTAAAGAAGCTGTGGATTCCCCATCCCTGGAAGTGTTCAAGGCCAGGTTGGATGGAGCTCTGAGCAACCTGGTCTAGTGGAAGGTATCCATGTCTATGGCATACGGGGTTGGAACTGGATGATCTTTAAGGTCCCTTCCAACCCAAACCATTCTATGATTCTATGAGATATTAGCTGACTCCTTAGGTTTTAGCTTAGTTTAAATGTGGAAGTTACCTGTGAGTCTCCAGAACCACTTTGTTACATTCTGTGTGAAAGCTGTGGACTGATAAAAGTCTGTGACCGAACACCACTCTTTGGATCCCCCTTTCCTGTGTGTTTCCACCCCCGTTAATTTTCCATGCAGTTTCTTTGTGTACTCCTGTACATTGTCATGCTGCAAGACCTGCCCAATCTGTTAAGAGGCTGAGCACTGCTAGTTCATGCCAGAGAGACCTCAGTGTTCCAGGAAGGGGTTTGGCACTCTGGGAATCTCTGCAGCTTGAAATTGAGATGCAAAGTTAATGTGCCACTTTTTGAAAGTAATGTTAGCAACAGCAGAAGTTTTGTTTTAGATTTCTCCTTGTACATAAATACACATCACCTGATGCCTTGCTAAGCTGAAAACAACTCCTGAAGTCACTGCCAGAAGAAGCTGATTTGGAAGGAAGACTCTGCTCCAACAGTGGGATTCAAGCTCTCATCTTATTGATGTCCAAGGTAGTTGTGGTATCTCAAGCATTTGGGTTCACTGACAAATAGGACGAGCCTGAGCACATATATAGGGACACAATCCCAGGAAAAGAACTTTGTGTAGCACGGAACAGGGAAGGGATGACCAGCTTTCAGGTCTGCTTTTTCTTTGTGCTCTCACATCAGTATTACATTTCACTGGCATCAACTCCAGAAATCAAATGTGTAGTTTGCCATTGTCAACAAGGCAGGTACCACCAACCTGCTTTCTCAAAACCACATTTTTTTTTCCTGGACAAACTGGCTTTATTTTCTGTGTCTCTGTAGCTTTTGCTTTACAAAAGGGCAGAGGTTGAGTGCAACATTTCTGTGGTCATACCAAGTGTACTGAAAAGCCAAACTGGCTTCATGAAGGTTTTCTGCCTTGAGAGGATGACTGTGATTCTCTTACTGTCTGACCTCCCCATCTGGTCCATTCTCAGATGCTTGTTTCCAAGAATAAGGATTTAGAGGAACTATTGATTATTTATTAACATATTTAGTGTCGCTTCAAAGTCAGGTAGCAAATTTGAAGTAGATGAGTCCCTACTGGATACAATTGAAATCTTATGGCATTCTATAGTCCAAGGTAGTCACCTACAGCAAGATTCATCATTTCAGCCCTTAGAAAAACTAAGGTGCTTGAAGTTGGGCAATATCAGTTCCAACTGGGCTTTCATTCCTGCTTTTTGAAGTTCTTGGCAGCTGCAAGCCATGAGCTGCTGAGGAGGTGAGGGCAGCAGTCATCCCCTTCACACAAGAGTCTGAAGCAGCTCAGGAGGCACCTGTGATCTCTGCTGGCACTGCTGTTCAGAAAGGATTTTGAGGTGTGCAGTCGACATCATGCTCAGAGTGGCTCAGAGGACCTCAGACTATAAGGCAAATCCTTTTGCAGTAGCTCAGGAGCAATGTGACAGGACAACAACCTTGGATATGTGTGACAAGGTGCACAAACTGAAAAACAGCAAAGAAAAAGCAGGCAAACCAAGAGAACTCACAGGGTACCATTTTGTGTCTTACAAAAGATAAATCTAATGCCTGCATTTTTGCCATCTTGCCAAATTTTAGTCAAGTTGCCCAAAATATGTGAGTATTGGCATATAAGGGAAAGCAGCTTAAAGTAATACAACCTGACAAGAGGTCAGTCAGGGAGAAACCATCCCCTTCATTTAACCTCCCACTTTTATGGGAGGTTAAAACAAACATGGTTTGTTTCTGCATCTGTTTTCCTTACTGTTCTTTTCTTCATTTACTCCAAGGTAAAAGCAGAAAATCTTGAATTGTTAAAACTATTTTGTTCTTGAAATTGGGAACAAAAAAGCCCCCAGTACTTCATTTTTGTATTTTAGCAGTAGCTCCTGTGTTGTCCAGGAGTTCACAATAAAATGATCTGCAAATTACATTTTCTTTGTACTTCCCTCATTAAAGTTCTGATGAGTGTTGTGTGATCTGTGTTATATTTTGACAGTGTATCATGGTCAGGAAAGTGGGGGAAACTGATATAAAACCCAAGGGGTTTGTTTTGGTTTGATTTATTTTTTTTCCCCAAAATGCACAAAAAGGCAAATGCTCTTGCTGGCAATAAGGAAAATCAGTGCATTTGTAGAAGAGTTATTATTGAAAATAGAAAATATTGAGAAAATATTTTATCCTTACACTGTTTATCCTTACATTGATGAAAAAGTTGCTCTTCAATCTCAGAAATACCTTACTAACTTTGGGTAGTGAGGGGAGTAAAAGTGAGCTGATCTAGGAAATCTGTTACTATAAAGAAAAAAGGATATTTTTCTTTCATAAAGTATTAAAAAAACCTAGTTATTACTAAATGCTTTAGTTATAGACCTTAATTAGTATTGCTCTGTCTTGCTTAAATCTTGCAGTCATTTTTGTGTGTTGCCCTCTGTTCCCCTTGGTAAACATGACTTTAAAACCTGGATTGTCTCTGAAAGGCTTAATGCTGAAATTCATCTGGAATTTCAGTGGTAGTTCATGGTCATAAGAAGTGCCCACAGATACCAGGTAAATGCCAATGTCCATCACTGTGCAGCAACATGGAAAACCATGAATTTGTATACGTGACCCTGACTGTATTTTGAGCTGCTCATGAAATTCAGAAATCAGGGGGTTTTGGATATTCTGTAGATTTGCAGTGTGAGAGACATTCTCTGCATGTCAGCATGAGCCCACTGACCTGTTTGCTGAAGTGTGACCAACAGAAGAAGAGACTTTTAGAAATGCTACCACTGTATCATGTGCTCTAAAGATCTGTAATACTGACAATTTCTGCAGAGCTGGAGAAATAAATGATACAAAAAAATGTATCATACTTGTCCAGGAAGTGGTTCCTTTACGCTGCTTCTGTTGGTAGATTTTTAATTTTATTTACAGTCCTGCCTGTACCTCCTGCCCCTGGCAGCTGTGATGGTGTCCATTCGTGTGTATTCCAAATGTGGACTGCTTTCATTTGTAGGAATAGTCTTGGAAGGTAAGTAGGTAAGTGTCTGCCCTCCCTCTAGGGACACCAGATGTGGCAACTTGCCACTTGCCACCTTCCGAAGAACTCGCCTGTTTGACAGAAGAGGATCACAAACAAGGATCTCTGCTCTTCCAAAACTGCAGAGAAAGTGGGATTTCTTGCATTCGTCACTATGCAGGAATTTAATGTGTCTGTTGAGAAGCTGAAGATAAAATGCTGTGTTTATATTAACTTCTCTTCAGATTGACAATTGTAACTTTATAGAACTTGGCCAATGCTGTCAGGGAGGGGAAAAAAAGCCCCAGCTTTGTGTTTCTTTAGTGGTCTTGTATGTACTGAGTTAACGTAAGTTGCTGGGCTGATACTTTTGTAGCCAACTGGTTTTCTGGCTTGTAGGTAAAAACAAGTAAGTTGCAATTGAAAACCAGCTCTGAGCAAAGGATTTCTGTGTAAGCATTTGTGATGCTGAGTGAACTAGGTGAGTGGATATCTTGTTAGCTTCTGTAAATCCTGGGACAGAATGCAATATTATCCAAAATACATTATTATCTGATATTTTTGATTTTTTCTCCTGGAGCAGAGGGTGGCACGTGCTCCTACTGGATTTAATTTAGCAGTGTCATAGAAAAATCTTTTTGAGAAAGTATCTGAGAATTATTTATTTTAAAAGCCTCATCCATTGTGTATGTTGCTTTTTGTTAATGTTCCTATGGGTGTCTGAAAGGATAAAACCTTCAGTAACCAAGCTGAAAATGTCTTTTGGTTGTAGTCTCTCTCTCCTGTCCATTTCGTACAACATCTGCCTGGGCAGCCACTTTGAAAATCGGGTACTTTGCACAAGTCATGGTAGGTATTAAATCTTGTAACTGTGCAGAGATGAGACTTTAAAGGTGCAAATAGCAGAAGTGGCTTTGGGACAGAGTTGGGTTTTGGGTTTGTCATAGTTAAGGCAGTGGCTCAGGAAGCTCCATCTTACACTTACTAAGCACAGACAAGGACAGTTCTCCATCGTCCTCAGGGTTCCCTCAGAGCTATGGGTGAGTCAGAGGGCATTTCAAATAGAATAAAACGTGAGTCTTGAGTCTGAGGACTGTTGCTGTAGGACATGCAACTCACCCTTATATTCTTACATTTTTGAATGTTCCCAAAATTAACAGGTGGCACCCTGTTAATTTAATGCTTAGGACACAATGAATACAGGACAGGCTTGTACCCAAAGCATGTAAATGTGTTCATCATATGTAACTGGAAGATAACACACCAAACTGAAATTTTCACATTTTTAATATAAAATGGCTGTTATCAAGAGGTAGGTTATGTTTAGAACTTCTCTAGTGGTTTGTGCTCCACTGTCAGTAAGAGTTGGATCACAGAGTGGAGCACACCAGGATGGTGTGAGGAAGACAAGAAGTTTCCACCGTCAGCTTGACATTCATAAAACCAAAATCTGTCCCTGCCTTTATGTATTTTCCCCTGGCTTCCTCCACCCATCAGCTGCGCTTCACTTGGGAACCTGTGAAACAGGGAATCCTTAGGACTGGTTGAGAGAATTTCCCATCTTAAAATTTCTCAAGGTGTAGTTTGGTTTATGTTTGAATGTTTGTAGTTGTGTATTTATATAAATAGACTCAGTACTACTGAAGTCAGTTTGTGAGCTCTTCTCTAGTGGCGTTTTGGTTTGGTTTTTTGGCTGTAACAAGCCCTGTGGTGGTTTACTCTTGTGAGGAAAGTTAAAAAGCAGTGTTTCTCTCCATGGATATGTAATCCCAAACTGAAAGCCAAGTGAGAGGAAGGGAATTGCCATTGGTCTCAATGGGACAAAATGCTTTTGGGAGAAGGAGCAGCAACGGGAAGCTTCACTAAGAATGGGTAATGTTTTCCAAAGCCTTGATTTGCTTAAATTGGTGCTTTTTCTGCCAGTACTAAATACACAAAATTTCACTAAGTTGTGGATTTAAGTCTTTGTATGACAAAATGCTTGTCCAGTGGTTTCTTAGTATCAATGAGAAGAAAGTCCCTCTAATATTCCTTCCTCTCAGTCCAAAAAAAATCCACATCCTCTGTTGAATTCACAGGCTTACACATAGGAATCCAAGTGACTGGAGGTCTAGAGACCACACAAGTAATGATGCAGTTGACTCTATTTTCAAAACACCAAAAGTTTTGAAAGAACTTGAATACATTTCTTCTTCCCAAGGGTAGTTACACAAAAATGACTGGGGCATAATCTTAAGAAATTTACACTGGTCCTGCTCAGGTTACAGTTGTTTACTGTACAAAATGGAGGACAATTGTGTTATTTTAAAATTTAAATACTGTTGTCAATCATGTAATTGTTTTTTTTTTTTTTTATTAAGTGGTTGGTTTTGTTTTCATTACATGTCCCTTCAGTGCAGGCATATTTCTAATGAATAATCCCACCATGCCAAGAAGCCACACCTGCAGGTTCTGGAATACCTTCTGAAGAGACTTTCTGCTCAGTACACATAAAGTCCCATTTTTAATGGATCAGTTCAGATAATCTTACAAAGTTTGAATGTTTATTGGAACTTTATTCAGGAAATCAGACAAGACACAGGTTTTCTTGCAAATTCAGGTTGTTCCTGGTTTCTGTTACATCAACCCATGTTAATGGAGACATCCTGCAAAGTCTCTCTGAAAACATAACTAAATGCAATGTGTATCCTTAGTTAAGAACAACTCTTTCGTAGCTACTGTTAAGCCTCTCTTATGAACCAACTGAATTTTTTCAACTCTATTTAGGGTTATTAATTTTGCAATGCAAGTGCTATCTGTCAGTGGTCTGCAAAGAAAGCATGGGACACAGAAGCAGGAGGATTACAGTTTCTGTCTCCCAGGTGGAGGGGTTTGGTTTTAAACCCTGCCATGAGTGGGTGGGTTGGCAGCATAAAAGAAAGGGAGAATCCGTCAGGAGCTGGTGGTGCCCAGCAGTAGAACAAGAGGCAACGGGAAGAAACTGATGCCCAGAAGTTCCACCTGAACATGAGGAAGAACTTCTTCCCTGTGCAGTGACCGAGCACGGGAACAGATTGCCCTGAAGGGATGTGAGATGTTCCTCACTGGGGATATTCTGGAGCCATCTGGACACAATCCTGGGCCACGTGCTCTGGGATGGCCCCGCTTGAGCAGGGAGGTGGGACCAGATGACCCACTGTGGTCCCTTCGAGGCTGACCCATCCTGTGATTCTGTGAACAAGGTGGTGAGGAGAAAAGAGAGCCAAGGCACGAGGTGGGTTTGGCCACCGGCTGGACAGAGGCCTTTTCTGTAGCCAGTTCTTGACCAGTCCCTTACTCCAGCTCTTCCTTCTGTGGCTGTCATAGTTTTCCTCTGGTTGTGTAGAACATGAATGTTCTGTTAAAAATGACAACGTGTCTGGCAAAAAGCAGAAACGATCACGTGGGATTTGGGTTTTCTCCCCAGTCTTACCCAAACAAATGACTGTGTCAGCACTTTGTCAAAAATTACACAGCTGGGTAACCAAAATGACGGTGCCTCAGAATGGGGTCACATGACATGAATTTGGGGAAAGCAAACCCTGCCTCTGACAATCCCTTCCCAGCCACTGTTACCAACCCTCTGCCATCCCTCAGCAACACTGATTTAACTGTTACAACGCCGTGCTGGAAACTGAGGCAAAGTCATTGAGATGACCTCAGCTAAAAACAAAGAAACCAGCTCCCCTCCCTCCCCACTGCCAAAAAAAAATGAACAAAAACCCCAAAAGCAAAGAGAAAAAAAACCCAAACAAAACATCACCAAAAAAACCCCACAAGCAAACAAAAACCCCCACAACACATAAAACCGCAGGAACTTCCAGAGGAGAGCTGAAAGCTCCAGACAACTTTTATGGTCATTATTCCCATGCCATAATGTGTGGCACACTGAAAAATATTTAAGGTTAACATCATTTTAATATGAAATTAAATGCCAAAACGGGTGGTACAGTGATTGTATTATTGAGTATCGTATGGAATTCAGTTAAAACTTCTCTTGTTAGTAAATCTTGCATCACTGCTGACAGCTGCTGTGAGGAATCCTGAGATTCCTTTTTAAGGATGTCCATCCCATTCCTAGCGGTGCCTCAGGAGCTGGTGCACTGCTGCCCAACACAGTAAGACGACTGAATCTTGTGAGGTTGATTGCAGATTGCTATCAGAGTAATAAAAAACAAGTTAAAAATTACAAAACCCTGGTACCTACAAAAGCTCATGAGCCATAGAAATGACGTGCTGCTAACTCCTTACTACCTCTGAGTAATTGTTAATTTGGTTGCTCGTTAGTGAGATTTAAGTTGGAAGAGTTGGACAAATTGCTGCTGGTCTTTATCATGATCTCTCTTTTTGTGCTGTTCCTGCACTGATGGAGCAGCTGTTCCTGGGAATCAAAACCCTGATCCACACACAAGGAGGAATAACTCATTTTTCCAGATAATACTTGCTGGCTTACTTATGTACACACAGAAGTGTACACATTTCTTTCCTACTGGTCTAAAAGGAGCAAGTTCTGTACAGCTGGGAAGGCTAAAGAGGAAACAGCATTTACCAAATGATAAAATTGGTAGATTATAGAGGAAAATAATCCTCAGAATATATTAATTCTTAAGTTTAGAAGCATTAAGATTATCTTCCTGAGCTAACCACTCCCTCTCAAGCACAGCTTTGAAATGTTTCCATTATGGAATCATAGGAATCATGGATGTCAATTCAGGAAAGTGTTTAAAGTAATGATGAATAAACAATAAAGACCATGAAGGTTAAAGGTTAGAAATTAAACTTTTAACAACTCTCTCCTGGCTTTGCAGCCTTAATACGTGCGCTGTGAGATTCCTGCTGTACATTAATATTCAGAAAGTTTTTCCCCATGAACATGTAATTGTTTGTATTAGAAGCTTAACTGGTGTACTCGAAATTAGAATCACGCCTGTGGGTATTTAAAATGGAAGAATAATACCAGCTAATGACTTCAGTGTAACTAGTAAAATTACATCAGGGAGAGCATTTCAGATTCTGCAGATTGGCCAAATTTATATTGATGAGGAACACATAAGATTTAGCTCAGTAAAATTTAATGAAACCAAGCATATATTGAGGAAATGGAAGTGTACAGGCTTATTTGTTGCAATGTGTGGAAATTGGTTAACTTTTTATTTCAGAGATAAATGAAGTTCTGCTTTGTGGAAATTTCTGATTATTTTCTGACACATTGTTACTTCTTTTGATGTAAACAGTTACATGGTCTTGCAGATAGGTTTCTTTAGTAAATTAAATTTATTGAACATGTTTCTTCACAGGCAAACATATTTCTTCACCAAACCCACAGAGCCATATTCCTGTGCAGAAACAACTGAGCTGGTTTGAAATACAGGAGGAAATCAGGAGAGTTTCTGTTCAGAGTTCCAAATGTTTTCTAGAAAAATGCTCCATCACTTTTCTGGCTGTTTTCAATTTTATAGCATCTTTTTCTGCTCAAAGATACACCTCCTCTAAAGAATACACAGCTCATTACCTTGGGTTATGTCAGTGTTCAAGTCCCAGCAAACTCCATTTGCATCCATCGTGTGGTTTGCCCTGTGAGCTACGATGTGTGACAGGTTCTAATTCCTCCAAGAAGTGCAACTGCTTCTCACTTTTGTCCTCTGAATTTGGTGTAACTGCATCCTCCAGTTTCAGCAGAGTTTTGCTTAATCTAAACCATCGGGTTCTATAAATAACTTCTCGCTGTGAAATGTACAGGAGGCAGCATTTTGGATCTTGATGTTAATTGCAAAGAACCGAGAGGTTCAAGATGAAAATAGAATCCGTATTGTGGACTTCCTAGTGAAGATTCAGAACCTGAAAAGAGTAGAATAGAATTAATTAAACAGTTTATTTATTTATTTGTGTATTAGTAGAATTAGCTGGACAACTTATAGTAAAATACTGGGTACTTTAACAGTGTTACAAGAAAGGGAGATGCGAATTCAAATACACCCATGCTTTAATGAAACAGTTAAAGCTTTCAGGGAATCAGAGGATGCACAAGTGCTGAAATAGAATGAGATAAATCTCTTTTTTAAAGTTGGACAGTTTACTCAGAGATTGAATCAAATTAAGAGCATATGTGTGATGTCCTACTAGCACAGAAATAGTGTAGTGAATGAACAAAAAGGTAAGCCTAATAATGTTATCCGTAGAACATCTGAAAGGAAGCAGAACAGAACAACATGTCTTAACCAAACAGCTCACAAAGCAGCCCTCTGATGTATCAAAGCTAATTAGGACAGAGTCCAACAATTACAAAAGATATTTAATCATAAAGAGATACCCAGCAATGTTTTGTCTTATCTCTTAAGCAGATCATTAAAGGCTTCCTGTCGTGTTTCCTCATGACTTCTTTTCAGGAAAATCTATTACTCTTTCCTCAGGAGGAGACTGAGACCTACCAGAGCACCTCATTTGGCCCCCTCCCAGCCACCCTGTATCCTGTGATCCAGCCAGGGAATAACAATCACCTGCACCAATAGTTCTCCCAACAGCAGTGTGCTCTGAGCGTTGCCCTTCCTGATCGTCCTCATCACGCGACACAACGTGGGTTCAAAATTTGGATCCCAAATCTGTGGCACGTGTGCAGACAAACTTCAAGGCAGTCATCCCAGCACAGAGTCAGCTTTTGCCATAGGAGCAAGCTTGGGTACTGCTGGCATGGCATTGTCTCAAATTCCTAAGAAAAAAAATAGGAATTACCTGCAACAGTTAATGCAGGGAGAAGCAGGGCGGGTACTGTACGAGAAGTTTCTCGAAGTCTTTCTGTCAGCACCACCTTTTGCTTTCATGTGATTTTGCATGTTAAAGTCTGGGGCACAATCCTTGAACAAAACAACAACAACTCTTTTTCCATTTAAAGAAAGTCTGGGTAGAATAGCCCTCCAGCAGGTTATTGGGGCAGACTTTCATTCCTGTACATATTAGAAACGTGTGGGAATAGAGGTAACCAGCCAGCCTGTATCCCAGACTGATGCCTGAAGGTTCCATTGTTTATTTTTTCACATCAATAACAATATTTTAAAAATACCTTTTCGGCTGAACCTATTTACACACTCTCAGATGGCTCTTGTTCTTTTTGTCCTTCCTTGGCTGTCCTACAGCCTTGTAATGGAAATCACTGCACAGTTTTCTGCTCAGCCTTTGGATTTCTAACTCTTTTTAGGGGAGATGTGTGTGCTCCACAAGTGAGTTTTTCCAGGATTCTTCCTTGTCACGCTGTAAAACTGATGCAAAGCACGTCCTGCTGTTTTTCTAAGCAGAGGGAGAAATTGTGTCATCCCCCACAACAGGCTCTTCATTGCCACTTGACCTGTCTCCAGTCCACTGTTCAGTCCTATCCATAGGTAACCTCTCTTTTTAATGGAAAGTGTTTTGGTTTAGAAAAATGTCTGTGTTTCTCGTGTGGGTTTTTGCCCTCACTTTACTTCAATTTGTACTTCAATAACAAAGCAACTGAATAAAATATATAAAAACCCATTTTTTTTCTGAAATTAAGTGAACTTCATCCAAGCTCAAAATCCTGACAGTCACTTTTAACATTTGGAAGATTTTGCAAGCACACACTGAAAAAAATATTTTGACGTCTAGGTTGTCAGATAATCTGTCAGCAACACTTATATCATTCAGGGAGAGAACTGTTAATTTCCAGAGTAATTTATTTGGAAAATAATGCATTTACTGCAGTGGAATATCCTGCTGGATGCTAGAAAAGCTACTTAGCATTTGTGCAGGCAGAGTAGTTGGCTTCAGAACGTGGGTTATTCTCTTGCGACAAAAACACAGGAAAAGAAATTCTTGCCAGAAACCATCAGTGAAAAGCAGGTACCTGCAAAGGGCAGGATGGTCAGAGATGGGCAGGAAGTGTTAGGAACTCCATGCAGAAGGATGGAATGCCTGGAGAAAAGGGGAGGAGTGCTCAGGGTCACACTCTTTAAAGAATAGGCTCATGGGGCACAATGGATCATACACCAAATGCTTTACTTGGAATAATCTTTAAATGCCAGGGAAGTTCTCAGCACTGTGGTGCTGTGCCCAGAAAAAAAACCCAAAAAAATCTTCCAATTCTGCTTCAGTTTTCTCTGTCCATTTGTTTATCCATTACAAATTGATCTTGTTTCTGTAGGAAAATGTCAGAGCATTATGTGTAATGATGGTGATGATCATCCCCAAAGGGTCCGAGGACTAAAGCCCAGGTCTTGTCTGCTTGTGCTGTGGGATGGTGTCAGTCTGAGGCTGCATCATGTTTCATGTGGCATAATTTGTGTCCCATCCTGATTTACACATAAAATTTAAGTTATAACTGTGATTTCTTGTAAAGAAAATATGTGCTTTTTCCATGCATTTTACTGTGTAATTAACAAACAGTAAATTTGTTACCCTGCTTATTGCTTTTGTTGGCAATGATGGCAACAAAAGCTGTGATTTTGCAGGAATAAGCAAGGCCAGGTCATGGAGGAAGACTGGTAACTTTAAAGATTATTCAGCACTTAAAGAAAGGTATTTGCAACATGGGCAATCTCAGCTTTCAAATTCTTCTTAACTCTGTCCCTGTCTAATTACTCAACCAAGTCTCACTGGCACTTACCTTTCATTGATGGTCAATGCCACTCTCAGAGCTCTGTCAAGCTGCTTCTTCCAGAGGCTTTTTTTTCTGTGCTCCCCCTGATGCAGGAGATGTTTCCTCTTTTCAGACAGACAAAGCCATTAGATCAAGTTGATGAATTTTGCTCTGAGTTTCCTGTGTTCTGAGTCACTTTTAGAAATTGCAAAACAAAATGTATAAGACACCCTCTTAGATTATTAGACCTTACCTCATCTACATCAACCTTTTATTCTGTTGCCATTTTTAGTGGAAAGACAACATAACATTATTGTGGGAACTTCTGTGTTTTATCATGTTCATTTAACTTCAGTGAAACTAAAAAATTATAAACTCTTGCCATATTCATCTTTATCCTCCTTATTTGTCCTTATACATTCTTTTGTTTCTGAGGCAAATCAGAAGAGGGGGGAAAAAAAAGGGTGAGGGTAAAAGGAGGAAAGAGTAAAAGAAGAACAAAACAAAGGAGAAAAAAAAAAGTTTTTATACTTATTCTTGGAAATTTTAACTTGAGGAAATACCCTATTTAAAGGGTTTACAGTTATTTCATATAGAATAACGGTACTTTTGTCTTTCTAAAAAATTCTCTGCCATTTCTACTGTAAAATTAGCATAGCTCCACCAGGTCAATTGAGGACAAGTTGCACAAACTTTAGCCACTGTATTAGCCCACATTTAATATGTTTTAAAATACTTCATCCGAGTTGACAAGATGCACATATGGTTTCTGAGTTATGGATTGAAGGGCTGTAGCTTTTAGCCTTCCTTTCTGTCTCCTCACTGTCATATTTCACTCACAATCTTACTGCATCAGACTTGGATTATCAGCCTTTTTTGGTCCATAAAGCATCCAGCATATTAATGTTTTGCATAAATTACAAGAAATTTAATCCAAAATCAACTAAAAAATATTATTTTGCAAAATCACAGCAGATTTTAAAACTGAGCAGTCCCAGCTTTTCGGAATGCATTGTGGATGTTGTCGTGATTTATGTGCTGTCAGTTATTTTTGTATATGTTGAAAAAAACCTGACAAGTTTCTATCTCACATTTCATAAATCAGGGTTTTCTGTATACAAAGCACGTGTCAGAAATCAGTATCTAAACAACATGCCAGTTGGCTTCTCCATGTGGCAGCTTGTAAACAAAAATATTTGGGGACTGCGCATTTGTGACATGACATGTAATGCGATGTATAAACACCAGCTATTGGGAAATAATCCTGTTCCTCTACATTGCTAATAAAATGATAAATCGTGCTTGCACTGCTGCATCACAGTTCAGTGGGTGAAACTTTCCAAATTCAGGTGGTTCTGTTGTTTTTTTCCAAGTAGGTGTATGGAGAGGTTAAATACTTTGTTAGTGACCTATCTGTGCATCAGAGGGCTATGTCAGAACTGACGGGGTGTTTTGTGCATTTATGTTATTTGGAAATTTTTTCCCCCCATATTAATTGTGTTTTGGTCAGAGACAAATTCTGGTTATACTGAAATCAGTGAAGGATTTTCCACCACCTTCCATGGGATCAGGAATCAGCTGTCAGAGGACAGGGGAATTACCAGGGCAAAACAGCTGTTCACACAGTGCAGGTTCCAAGACGTGAATCAGCATCCACGAGATGTCAACTCGATATGATGAGAACAGAAGATACAATACTGCAAAGTATTTCATTCTGTGAAGGCCAAACCAAACAGGACAAGTCTTGTGGAGAAGATGCAGAGACACATTATTACATCTTCCCAGTGTAAATGCAGCTGGAAAAGGCTACAGCAGATCACGTCTAAGGAATAAAAGGTTGAGCAGGATATGGGAAAACTAGAATGAACTAAAAGTAGTTGCTGTCTGACTGGATGCTGTTTAAATGACCATTGCAACACAGAGGGTTTGAAGCAGGGCTGAGGATCATCAACAGGCCTAATATTAGTACATCACAAAGTGCAGGACATGAAAGTAATTTAAAACACCCAAGAATTTTTATTATTCGTCAATGATGCAGGTTCTTTTAACATTTTATCCATTTTTTTGTTGTTGTCAAGCCGGCAAATAAACATTCATAGGATCCTGTATAAAATATGATTTCTTTTTGTTCTTTTGCTGCTACATCTAGTTAAATAGCCTGGCATTTCTGTTCATATGTCTTGTTTTGTTTTGTGCCACATCCATTTTTGCAAAATCTGACACCAAATAAGGAAAAAACAACTAATGAACTGTGCAATAGGTAAGTAGCTTCCTAGTGTTGTGACAAGGGAGGAAAAATACTGGGTTTATTCCCATAAATCAAAGTAATCATGCAAATATTGAACTTTATAACCTTAATTTGTTCTCATATGTTTCAAAATTCCACTGCTACTTTCAGCCAAACATAAATTAATAATGGTTCCAAATGCCTGTAGATTATTTAATTAAAACAGAGTAAATTCATTTTTCATTCTCAGCTAAGTGACATAAAACAGACTTTGCAGGGAGAAGGCCATGCTCAGGATTCTGATGTCCCTGAAGATTCTTTCAAGAATTTTGATAAAGTCTTAACTGTTTTCTTCCTTTTGTATTAACACACTCTGTGGTGTTTTCTCTTTACAGTAGATGTCCATAATCCCAAATTATATTTCTGTCCAAGGTTTGTGGGGCTTTTTTTGGTAGTTTAAGTGTTCTTTTCCTGTTTTTTTATGTCTGATGGTCTTCCTGCAGACTTTCTGTGGACTTTTGTAGTTCAGACTAATTTGTTTAATTGATAAATAGTTTTGCACAAAATTTTGTACTCCCAGCCATGTGCCCTTTTGCCCAGTTAGTTTTGTAATTATTTCAAAAGAAGGAAACTGATAAGTCATATAGGAAAAAAAGGAAGGAAGCTGATTATTGTCAATTAACATAAATTCTGACATGCAAACACCAGAGAGGAATGAAATAATGCAAAAGCAGGCTGAAAACAAAAACTGTCGTACTCCTGGCCAACTTCTGTGATCACATTTGAAATACTGATTTCAGTTTCATCTTGTTAGCAGAAAAATAACTAGGGAAGTTACAAAAGAACAGAAAACTGGCAGGGAGATTAAAAGTTATGATTTAAACAGCAAGATGTTAAAAAAAAAACCCAAACATGAAATTGTTACTGATTATCTTAATTAGCAATCTCTTGAGGAGTGGGTGGAGTTACTAAGCTCCCTAAGGTTTGGATCCCAAGGTTTGACATTACGTGTTTACAGTTTCAGAGACTAAAATTATCAGGGAAAAAAAGGGAATATTGACAGTGTTTATTGTGCTTCCTGGTTATCCCATTCCCAAATTTGTGTGTACTTCTAAAACGGGCTTAAATATTCAGGATTGACATACAATTGAAGTAGATAAACTGAGGGAGCCCTACAGCATCTGGTAGGGACCTAAAGTGGAACTCATTAAGTAAAATGAAAGAAAATAGATGAAATTTTAAAATACAAGATTCAGGCTAATTATGAGCAAACATTTAGTTACTGAAGTCTGCATGGCAGCATAAATCATTCCTTTGAACATTTAAACTAGATAGGAAAAGACATGGAAAAATCGGTGATTAATTCTGTATTGGTTGGATGTATTAGGATGACTAATAGAATAGGTTTTTAATATATAAAATCTGTACTGCATCCATCTGAAACTGCATATACAGGCATGCAAGGGATACAAGAATTTGACCCTATAATTGGTAAAATCCAATGACTTCAGTTTGGCGAGACAGCACCAAAGTACTCTGTGCTGCATGAGAATGAAGACTATAAATAAGTAATGTATTTATTTTTAAATAAATGGGAACAAGTAAATTTTCCCATATCCCTAAATGCTCATAAATCATTGTGATTTACTGTGTCAGTCTTATTTTTCAGTTCTGCCATCTATTTCAGTTCTCTTTAAAGACTGTACATATGGAGAGATCGACTACAAGATTTTCAGTCTCTGGAAATCCATATCTGCCAGGAAAAAAATGTCTGGAGGCCAAGATTATCCCTTTACCTACAGGAAGAAGTGGCAGCACTTTTAATTAGGCATTGTCCCAACCAGAACTGCATATGAAAGCTCTGTTACCTCAGGGTCTCTGGGATATAGCCTGCCTTTGTATAAAGATGTGTGTTGAAGATTTACTGGAAGGAAAGCAAATAACAGGGCTCATGAGTAACATTTGATGTGCTTTGGGTGCTGCAGGTGTGGGCAGCTCAGCTGGAGGTGTTGTATGAAGGGCCCAAGCATCACATCAGCCCAGTCATAGGCCACTGTTCCTGCTGACCAGAGCGCTGGGAGTGAACAGGGAGACTGGAGCTGAACATGAGCCAGCAGTGTGCCCAGGTGGCCAAGAAGGCCAATGGCATCCTGGCCTGAATCAGAAACAGTGTGGCCAGCAGGACCAGGGCAGTGATTGTGCCCCTGTACTCGGCACTGGTGAGGCCACACCTTCAGTCCTGTGTCCAGTTCTGGGCCCCTCAGTTCAGGAGGACATTGAGGGGCTGGAGTGAGTCCAGAGAAGGGCAACGGAGCTGGTGAAGAGTCTGGAGCACAAGTCCTATGAGGAGCAGCTGAAGGAGCTGGGGGTGTTTAGCCTGGAGAAAAGGAGGCTCAGGGGAGACCTTATTGCTCTCTACAACTCCCTAAAAGGAGGGTGTAGCCAGGTGGGTTCGACCTCTTCTCCCAGTCAGCCTGTGACAGGACAAGAGGACACAGTCTGAAGCTGGGCCAGGGGAGGTTTAGATTGAACATTAGGAAGAATTTCTTCACAGAAAGGGTAATTAGACAATGGAAGGGGCTGCCCAGGGAGATGTCACCGTCCCTGGAGTTGTTCAAGGAAAGACTGGATGTGTCACTCCATGCCACGGTCTGGTTGACAAGGTGGTGTTGGGTCACAGGGTGGACTCAATGATCTCAGAGGTCTTTTCCAACCTCATTGATTCCATGATTCTGTGATTCAGCTTTACAGAGTGCTTTCTATAAAAAGCTCCTTTTGATGTCTCTCTCAGCTTCATTCTGCTTATTTTTCATATGAAAACTAAAACTTTCTTTCCCTGCAATTCCTCCATTTTACATCAGTTTGCAGCACAGTGAATTAACTCTTCCAAACCAGGAGTCGATAATGTCTTGCTTCAGGAGGTGCCTAATCACTGTGATGAATTATCCTAAATAAAATGAGAGACCTTTACAGATGACATTTTCATTTGCAGTGAGTTGAAGATGGGTTTAGCAAACAGCTGCTTTCCACAACAGCCAGGATTAGTCATCTTACTCTTACATCAAGCATAAAGTAGTTATTTTATATGGGGAATTATGAAAGAGCCAAATAATTCTGGATTATTGATCTATTTGTCTGCTGGGAGGTTGTCAGTGAAAAATCTTTTGCTCTGTTGTTCTTAATTCAGATGTCATTAGTGTAGAGGTTAGTCTGGGATCACTATGAAAGAAATTGATATAATGCCCACTATGCTTCTTTCCCAAATAAAAATAAATGAAAGTTAACAGAATAAAATGTGATGTTTGGAAACTTAAAAACCAGAATGTTTTTCAGGAGCAAGATCAATCAATGGCTGCTATTAAAACGTGGCTTAAGACCTTGTAGAATCGCACTTGATACTTTAGACATAAACAGCCTAACCACAGTGTAATCAGTAATTATTACCCCTGTCTTCTAAAGGATCTATTTGCACTTACTTTCTTTAAGTATCATCATAAAGAAGCTCAATTTTATGTGTGGTACAAATACACTTTTTCTGATTTCACAGTAATTGCATGTGGTCGTTTAATTTGTCGCTGTGACTGAGACCTTTCCTCATTTACACTTCCAAAGTTCTGTCAACTCTGTGGAACAGTAACATGTTGTGTAACTGCGAAAATTAGTGCAGGGAATGATGCTGTAAATAGCATTTGCACTAAAAAGTGAAGCATTGCTTGCCCTTGTTTAACTCAAGTAATCCAGAGTGCTTTGTAGTAATTTCTACTGTCCGTTTTTCTATATTTAGAAAAACAGCTGTGTATCTTTTGTAATAACCAATAAGGAGCTGCAGAAATCTTCCAGCTCAGAGCAGGTGTTTACAGGTTCTTGCCTCTCTCCTGATTTACGTGGTGCCAGTTTGCATAATGGACGAGTCACCTTCCAGCACACACCATTCCGAGGTGCCCAGCTAAAGCCCTCGGATGCACCTGCCTCCCTGGATCACATCACGCTCCCCTTACATCCCCTTTCCTGCTCCTCTACTCTGCTTTGCTGCCTGGTTTAATCTTGTTCACCTGAAGAGCAGAAACACTTTGGCTTTCTAATTTTGCTACTTCCTTAAAGAATTCCTCCTGTTTCTCTTTATGGTTGAGTTGTTGTAAATGTCCACTGATCCCAGGCCAGAAGGTGTTTTGGCCTGATCAGAGGGGCTGGATGTCGGGTCCATTCCATTGGAAAGCTCCCATTCCTTGTTTCAATATTGTTATTGCGTGAGCAACTTTGATGACAGCTGAGTTCTAGGCACAGACCTCAGCACTGCCCAGGAATCTCAGCGTCAGCTAAGAATTTAAAGGCATTTTAAGAAATGTTATCCAAATTCTTCTGATGTCAGCATAAATTAATATGCAGAAGTGAGAAGGAGGATTTTATGTGTTGAACAGTGTTTGTACAAGGAGGCCCTTTAGTGAACACAATGACTCGGAGCAGGCTGTGGCTGCCGTATGTGTAAGGTGCCAAAGGACTTTTTAGTAGACTTTGTTGGAGAGAAATAAAAATCCCTGTATATTTTTTCTTTTTTTAATGGAAGATGCCATTTATTTTGTAAGCAGAAAGCAGCTGTTTGCAGCACTAGACATTGAACTAGGAACTCTGTCTGTTGACTAAGAGCCCTTAATAAATTCACAATGTGAGTGCTAATGAATGAGTTGATTTTAATATGTATCATATTTCACTGTAGAAACCTCCTTATGTTTTGTCTACCCACAGTTTAATTTTATCCTCACTTGACATTCCCAGTAGGCAAGGCCAAAAGTAAACTGGGATATCCAGTACTACCAATACAGATAAAAAAAAAGAAGAAAGAGAACCCTGGGATAAATCTGAACCAGCTGAGAGGACAGAGAGCTGCCTGAACCCAAAGCAGACTCCCTAGCAGGTTAGGAAGAACCACAGGATCACCTGCCCCACCTCAAAAGTATGATGGAGTGGCCAAGGTGAGGACTTGACGGAAAAAAGCACAGTGAATTTCAGGCTGAGGAAAGGAAATGTGGGAGTGAAAAACAAGGAGGATCCATTTTTCCTCAGATTGTCTGGACTCTTGCATTTGCCAGTCCTCCCCCTTGCCAGGAAGGGAAGTGCCCTGTTCCCTGCTTCTTTATGTTCATTCCCTGCCTGGCTTTGCGTGGCGAGGCAGCGATGTTTTTCACTGAGGGACAAATATGAATTCTTTGATCTTAGTATCCTAATTTCACATTTGCCAGGTAATTAAAAACAGACAAACTTGCACACACACGTTAAAATACAGCAATGTATTTATGAGCGTAATTGAGCTGTGATTAATTCCTCACATTTCACTACAAACCAATAAAAAGCCATTAAAGGGCAGTGAATGGATCCTGCCAGGAGCAGGCCCGTACCCCCTCTGTTCTGTGCAGTCTGGAGCCACACACAGTTTTGCAAAGCATGGGCTGACAGGACAGTGTGGCAATATCTCCTCCCTCGTTGCACACATGGAAGCAGCAGTGCAAGCTGTGAGAACATCGGGTGTCAGAACACCACAGAGCTCTCGAGTGCCCTGCGCACTCCGGCCTCCATGCAGGATAACAGCATCCCTTCTGCTCCAGAGACAAAGAGGAACTTGCTTTTTCTCTCCCTTTCCTTCAAAACAGAGACTACAGGGACAGAGGGATGTTATCTTCTTGCTAATGGCAGCATCTTGGGTATGGATCACCTCAGAGTTGTCCCTCTTGACAAACAGGGCTGTGAAAACATCGCTTGGTGTCCTGGCAGGTCCCTGCCCAGGGAACCCTGAGCAGCTGCTGCCTTCTGACCACAGGTTTCCCTTTGTCACCCTGTGCATTTGAGGGGTTTTAATCCACTTGGAGCACGGAATGTAACTGCACAGAGCAGGCACAGAAAGAGGGCTCTAAATGCCACGAGTTCGGCGAGCTCAGTTAAACACAGGAGCACCTGCCAGCTCTTCCACCACGGCCACAACCAGCTCTAGCTAAGAACTTCTGAAATACCCCTTCTGTGTTAAATGTACTGATTCTCTGATGGCTCCTTGCACCATTTGCTCCTTCCCCCAAATCCATGAAATGGTATCATCCAGTTTTGCTCCTCTGACATTTGGGGAGGCAGAGAAAGGCGCAACGAGGGAGTAAAAAAAGTGTATTTTTAGTTCCTTTTATTGCCTTTCAGCACGATTGCTTTCTGGTTTCAAAGGAAACGTAACTGAAACCCAATGTGGTTTTGGAGTGAGGAAAATGTCAGATAAAAATTAGCATTTTAAATCAGGGAAATGATTTGTGAATTAAAATACTTGCTTCTTGTGGCTTTGTAGAATCACCTCCCCTTTGCCTTCAGGGTAGCCAGAACAATTTTCAGGCCAAGCCAATATTTGAATTCTTGTTCTTCCCAAAGAAAACTGGTGGGTGGGTTTCTGTCTAGGAGCTAAACCAGAAATTTGCCCTAGGGTTTGGCTGCAGTTCAGCTTTGGGGAGCCCACCACCCCTTCTGTCCCACCAGCTCCCCCCAGTAACGGGCACAGGGATAGTGTTATACCAAAGCTGCTCCAATACCTGCTTTCCTACTGGGAGGAACACAGTCTACAGCAAATAGATAACAGTATTTTCCTTCATGAAAATACTCCATTTTCCCAAAGGAGCGACCCTCTACTTTAGATTAACAATGCTCAGCAGTATCCTCAGTTGGCTGTTCTGGCTACTACAGCCCCAAAGGAAACACAGGGAACATTCCATAAGAAAATATCCTGCAAAGAGCTTAATATTAGGGTTTGTTTTGGTTTTCTTTTTAAAGTTGCTTGTCTTTGTGCTATGGCATAGCCAACTAAGGGAGAGGTTTCTGCTCTTTGGTTTGTTTAGCAAATATGAACAACACCGTTATAGTCAGCAGCTGGAGCCAGGAATGCAAGTCTACCAAACCAAACTAAGCAAGGAAGGACTGTAAGATATGTTTGGTTAAAAAAAAAAAAAAAAAAAAAGATAGTTAAAAAACTGCTTCTCAGCCTTCCCCTGAAGCCCCAGCTCTGCCTGTCCCTGTATTTGTAACCTTCAGCCTCCATAGGGTAGGGAACAATGGTACTTGTTCCTGTAAATTCACCATAAG